TTTCTTTCTTTCTTTCTTTCTTTCTTTCTTTCTTTCTTTCTTTCTTTTTCTCTTTCTTTCTTTCTTTCTTTCTTTCTTTCTTTTTCTTTCTTTCTTTTCTTTTTTAAGATTTTTTTAAAGATTTTATTTATTTATTCATGACAGAGAGAGAGAGAGAGGCAGAGGGAGAAGCAGGCTCCCAAGGAGCAGGGAGGGGACTTGATTCCAGGACCCTGGGATCACGACCTGAGCCGAAGCAGATGCTTAACCATCTGAGCCACCTAGGCGCCCCCCTTTTTTTTTAAGATTTTATTCACTTATTTGGGAGAGAGAGAGAGCACAGAGCAGTAGGAAGGGGCAGAGGGAGAGGGAGAAGAAGACTCCCTGCTGAGCAGGCCCCCCCCCGCCCCCGCCGGCAATGGTTTCTTAGACGTGACACAAAAACACAAAGAGAAAAACAGATAAATTAAAAACTTTTGTGCTTTACAACAGATGAATGGATAAAGAAGATGTGGTATATATACACAATGGAATATTATGCAGCCATCAAAAGGAATGAGATCTTGCCATTTGCAACGACGTGGATGGAACTGGAGGGTGTTATGCTTAGTGAAATAAGTCAATCAGAGAAAGACATGTATCACATGACCTCACTGATATGAGGAATTCTTAATCTCAGGAGACAAACTTAATCTCAGGAGACAAACTGTTGCTGGAGTGGTGGGGGGTGGGAGGGACGGGGTGGCTGGGTGATAGACATTGGGGAGGCTATGTGCTATGGTGAGCACTGTGAATTGTGCAAGACTGTTGAATCACAGATCTGTACTTCTGCAACAAGTAATGCAACATATGTTAAGAAAAAGAAAAAGAAGAAGATAGCAGGAGGGGAAGAATGAAGGGGAGTAAGTCGGAGGGGGAGATGAACCATGAGAGACGATGGACTCTGAAAAACAAACTGAGGGTTCTAGAGGGGAAGAGGGTAGGGGGATGGGTTAGCCTGGTGATGGGTATTGAGGAGGGCACATTCTGCATGGAGCACTGGGTGTTATGCACAAACAATGAATCATGGAACACTACAACAAAAACTAATGATGTAATATATGGTAATTAACATAACAATAAAAAATTAAAAAAAACTTTTGTGCTTTAAAGGATTCTATGAAGGGAAAAGACTGTTGAATCACTATGTCGTATAACTGAAACTGACGTGAGTCAGTGTGTCAACTATACTTCAATTACAAAAAAAATAGAGAAAGGGAAAAGACAACCCATAGATGGGAGAAAATATTTGCAAAGAATGTATCTGATGATATGACTAGTATCCAGAATATATAAAAGTAAACTCTTATGGATCAATAATAAAAAGATAACTTAATTGAAAAAAGGGCAAAGCATCTGAAACATTTCTTCAAAGAAGATATACGTGCAGTTGACAAGCACATCAAAAAATATTTACCATCATTACTCATCAGGGAAATGCAAATAAAAACCACTGGGAGATACCACCTTCCAACCATTAGGATGGTTATAAATGAAATGGAAAACAAAAGCAGAGAGTAACAAGCATTGGTGAGGATGTAGAGAAATGAGAAATCCCAGACAGTACTGGTCGGAATATAAAATGGGGCAGCCGCTTTGGAAAACAGTCTGGCAGTTTCTCAAAATGTCACACATAGAATTACTATGTGACCCAGCAATTCCACTCTTGGGTATAGACCCGAGAGAAATTGAAGCATAGGTCCACACAAAAACTTTTACATGCATGTTTATAGCAGCCCTAGTCACAATCACCAAAAGGTGGAAACAACCCAAGGGTCCATCCATGGGTGAATGAACAAAATGAGGTCCATCCACAGAATGGAATATTACTCGGCCATAAAAAGGAACAGACCCCTGACACACGCTACAATGAGGGTGAACCTTCAAAACGTCATGCTGAATGATAGAACCCAACACAAAAGGACACCTGTTGCAGGATCCCATTTATATGAAACATCCAGAACAGGCAAATTCATAGAGACAGAAAGCAGTGGTTGCCAGGGGCTGGGGGATGGGGGGGGTAGGGAGTGACTGCTCACGGAGATGGGGTTTCTTTTCTAGAGTGATGAAATGTTCTAAAATCAATTGTGATGATTGCACAACTCTGCGAAGGTGCTAAAAATTACTGTACACTTTTAATTGGGTGAGCTGTAGAGCATATGAATTATATCTCCATAAAGCTGCATTTCTTTTAAAGATTTTATTTATTTATTTGGAGAGAGAACGAGAGAGAGAGCACAAACAGGGGGAGCATCTCCCATCTCTCACCCCATTCTGCGGAGGCCTGAGGAATGCGGTCCCAGCAGCGAGGCCTCCCCAGAGGAAGCACAGGTGTGAGCACATGGGAGATTGTCTTGCTGAGTGAGTATGACATGAGCTGGGGGAGCAAATGAGTGGCTGTCTCCACTAGATGCCCATGTGTGCCGCGGAGACTTCCCTGGGGATGCCTGTCTCTTTCCCCCCGGAGAAAGCTGCCTCCCCCCACTCAGGCTTTCACTTCCCCATCCACAAAAGGGTTTGGAGCTTCTCCTTACCTCAAGAGATTCAATGATGAGATATTTCTAAAGCAGACACCCAGCATAAGGCAAATGGGAGCTGTTCATACAGTAAGAACCAAAGGCGCTGAGTTCTTGTTTAGCTAGTTCTTATTCATAGCTGGTATGTGCTGGCACATTCTGAGCGCTTTATACATATTAAGTCATGGGCCCAGGGGTGCTGCCAATCCACAGCCAGGATGCCCAGTTAAACTTAAGTTCCGGATCGATAGTGAATATATTCTTTTAGGATAAGTGTATCCCCAATATCGTATGGGATATACTTGTACTAACAAACTATGCATTACTTATCCACATGGGCTCCTCACATGAAATAGAGAGTCTACGACTGTCTCTGGCTCCCAGGCAAGGGGACCGGAGCTCAGATTGGTGAGGGGACCTGCCCAGAGTGCCCAGGGTGAGCGTCTGGCCCAAGGCCTTACCCGATCAGCCTGGCACTGGCGGAAGCTGGCATTGATCCGGTCCAGGTCGCGGCGGGTATTCAGCAGCAACTGCATGATGGTGTCCTTGGCGCGGGAGGTGAGGTTGAGCTCCTTGGACAGGTTGGCCTGGGAGGCCGTGAGCCCCATGACCTGGCTGTACAGGCCCTCCGCCCGGCGCTCGGTGGCCTGCAGGTTGGATTCTGTGCTCACGTGCACGTTGCCGTAGACCATGAAGAGGACGAGGCCCAGGATGATGAGGAACTGGATGAGCGACACAAAGAGGAAAAAGTAGCGCAGGTAGTACCAGCAGCCCCTCGGGCTGCCCCCTGCCCGCGAGTAGGCGCCTCCGTGCTCCATCGCCAGGCCCATCTCTGCCCGGGGCCCTCGGTGCTGCTCGGCTGGTCGGCCTGCTCTGGGTGGCTGCTGCAGCGCCTTCTGCTCACCCTGCCACGGAGCGGGGGCGGGGGGGGGGAGTGTTTATATTACTCCTCTTAATACTTCCTCTGCCTGGCTCCTTCCTGACCGGGAGGAAACGGGGGCTGTGGGTTATCACAACACTCCCACCCTGGCTGTGAAGGGAGGGGCCATGGCGCTGCTGGGTTCTGATATTCACTGGGTGGGGCCCCAACTGGGTGACAGGGGCTTCCTCGGCCACTCGGAGCCTCAGTTTCCCCACCTGCCCTTGCTCTGTGCCAAGCGCTATTCTCAGCCACTGGCTGCATACTATCTCCTGTCATTGACCCCTGTCGTGCGGAGTAGGAAACTGAGGCACAGGGAAGCAGAGGGATCGTGAGGCCCGGGTCTCACGCTGTCAGTTCACAGAGCGGGGCTTCCCTCCGGGTGGACTGGTTACAGATGTGTGTCCACCTCGTGAGCTAAATCAGGCAGTGCTTGGCCCAGAGCCAGGCACACAGTAGGTGCTCATCAGGGCTTCACAGAGGGCTGAACCATGGATGGCAGTGGCCCAGGTTTCCTGAGCTGTCAGCCCACCCGCTGCCCTGCTCACACAGGTGCTGCTTAAGTACTCGGGGAGCAGCACACACAGCAGTGAACTTGGAGCTGGCCAAGCAGGCTCGACCCAAGTGAGCTCAAGCAAGGGGCTTCTCCTGTCTGTTCTCAGTTTCCCCTTCTGTGAGATGGGTATCCCTGTGGTGTTCCCGTGACAGGGCCAGGGAGAGGGGCTGTAAGAAAGGGTTTGCTGTTTTGTTATTACTATCATTTCCTGCTGGAAGTGTTATTTCGGGGCTCTGTGAAGTGGTGAATGGGAAGTGCCAGATAGGTGGGGGTTGAGCTTCACTGTCGGTCACCCCCGGGGTGGGCATGAAGGGGATTTGGGGACCAAGGAGCAAAAGATTCTGGGTGGGCCCTCCTGCCCATCCCCCCAGAATCAGGAGCTCTAGGAAAACCTTCCATGCTGGATGAGGTGTCAGTCTCAGACCTGGCCATAAGGGACCCTTAGTCTCAGGGAGACAGAGTGGGACACAACACCTAGCTCCATGGGAGGAAGGCTGGTAGGAGGGAGGGATGGACGCTAAGGGGAAAGGGGCCAGCAGATGGAAAGGATGCTGGACAAGAACACCATTACTGTACACTGTTCGTGGGGGGCACAGCAGGGTGAAGGCTGCTGCATGGGGACCCATCCCCCCATCAACCAGGGTAATGGAGTTGGGGGTAGTTGACAGTGGGGAGGGTGTCCTCCAGGGTGGTGTTCATCACAGAAGCAGAAATTGGACTGGGAAGGAGGAAGTTCCCAGGGGTAGGCAGGAAACCCCTGTCTGACCTTTGGCCTTTGCAGCTACCCGGTGATTCCTGATTCCGGACCCTTCCCAGAGGCTTGTTGAGGGGAGGAGGGTTGGGGGCTGCAAGTGGTGCCCAACCAGCTATTTCTTTAGGTTGGCCAGGCCCACCCAGAGTCCCCTGAGCAGGGTGGGAGGAGGACATCTTCCATCTTTGTTAATGGGGGCCATGTAGGCAGAGTGAATACATGGTTTCAATTTAGGCTCTGGAGTTAAGTTCTGGCTGTGCCACCTACCACTGTGTGACCTCAGACAAGTGATTTTCCTTCCTTAAGCCTCAGTTTTCTTCTCCACAAAAGTGGAGACAACATAGCCAGTTGTGAAACACTTGTCACAGTGTCTGGCACACACACAGCCTTAATAAGTGGGGGTATTTTTTTCATGTGCAGCCTCTGATGCCAGGATGAGAAATTGATATGCAGGGGAGGGACACTGCCTCCAAGTAGTGTGCTTGGGGCCTGTGGGAGCACTGGCTGGAAAAGAGCATGGTGGGGGTACAGCCTAGGGAAGATGGGTCCAGTGGACATGCACAGACATGGGGGCAGTGCCTGGGCCAACACCAGTAGGTGTGACAGTCTTGGTATGTACTTAAGATCCTATCATGATATATTGAAAGTGTTGCCTATATGCATATATGAACATGACATCTGTTGTCAAGGAAAAAGAAAGGCAACCATAAATTCCCAGAAAATTAAAAAGCCACCCTAGATCTCATAGTGCAATTTTGAGTAATTGTCACAGTGTAAGAAACAGTTTAATTTTTTTATTATTTATTTTTAAGAGATTTATTTATTTATTTATTAGAGAGAGAGAGCGCACAGAGGGAGAGGGAGAAGCAGATTCCCTGCTGAGTAGGGAGCCCAATGTGTGAGATCATGGCCTAAGCTGAAGGCAGATGCTCAACTGACTGAGCCACCTGGGTGCCCCTATTTTTTTTTATCTTTAATTAAAATTTTTAAAGATTTCATTTATTTCAGAGAGAGAGAGTGAGAGAGAGAGAGAGTGAGAAGGAGTGGGAGAAGGGGCAGAGGGAGAAGCAGAATCCCTGCTGAGCAGGGAGCCCAACGTGGGGCTCGATACCAGGAACCCAGATTCATGACCTGAGCGGAAGGCAGAAGCTTAAATGACTGGGCCACCCAGGTGCTCCTTATTTTTTAATTAATTGATTAATTAATTAATTTGAGAGAGAGAGCTCATTTGCATGAGCAGGGCTCGCAGGGTGGAGGGGCAGAGGGAGAAGGAGAGAGAGAATCTTAAGCAGGCTCTACATGTGGGGCTCAGTCTCATGACCCTGAGATCATGACCCGAGCCGAAATCAAGAGTCAGACACTTAAAGGACTGAGCCACCCAGGTGCCCTAGAAGCAGAGTTTTAAATATACACACTAATATCGTTTGTATCAAGCTCAAAAACAACATTCTATCTGTTTTTGGTATTTGATCTCATTATCTTTGATTTGCAATGTTTCTTTTTCGAATAGTTTATTAGCTGGATTTTTTAAAATGGAAAAAGTAATGATGAAACTTTGTCTTTTTGCTTAACATTATGTCTTTAAGATTTGTTGATTCCTTTTGCCTGATGCTTAGGTTTTCACCACATACATTACCACAATAACTATCAATGGGCATTTAGACTGTTTCTAAATTTTTGGTTTCACTAAAAAAAATAAGAGTTGACATTAAATCCCCACAAATGAAACTGCTGGGTCTCAAAGCAGTTACAGCTTATATTTTGACAGCTAGTCACCAATTTGTCCTCCAGAGGTGGTTTCCATTGACAGTCCTGCCAGCAGTGTCTAAAATCTCTAAAAACAGACTTTCTGAACACATTTTGCCTGTGTCCCTGGCCAGAAAATCCCCAAGGGAGGAAGCGAATGACAAGTCTTTGGATTCTTATGAGGTCAAATGCATTGGTCCTGATGTGAGCATTTGGTTTTTTCCTGAAAACAATTTGTCATGGTCACAGGAAATTTTGCACATGAACCCCTCTGAATTCCCTTGGAGGGTCATCACAAAATCAGGCTTTGATTTTAAACTTTTGTTTGTTTGTCTTCTAAATTAAAAACGATCAATTTGGTTTTATTTGCACAGGGAAGGGGAAAGTGTTATGAGAAAGTCAACTTTGTGTCACTACCTAAAACTGACACTGAACTTCTCAAGGAGACACAAGATTTTTAAAAACTCTCACAGAGGGGCACCTGGGTGCCTCAGTCCAGTTAAGCGACTGCTTTTGGCTCAGGTCATGATCTCAGGGTCCTGGGATTGAGCCTTGCATTGCTTTGGGCTCCCTGCTGAGCAGAGGGCCGACTTCTCCCTCTGCTCCTCCTCCCTGCCCCCCCCCCGCCCGTTTGTGCTATCTAAAATAAATAAATAAAATCTTTAAACTTTTTTTCCTATTTTTAAAGATTCTATTTATCCATCTGAGCGAGCAAGAGAAAGGGAGAGCACAATCAGGGCAGGAAGGGAGGGGCAGAGGGAGAGGGAGAAGCCGACTCCCTGCTGAGCAGGGAGCCCAAAGTGAAGCTCAGGATCATGACCTGAGCTGAAGGCAGCTGCTTAACCGCATGAGCCACCCAGGCGCCCCAAATAAATAAAATCTTAAAAAGAAAACAAACAAACAAAAAATAAAGACTCACAAAACTTTAGGAAGGTCCTTAAGGAAGTAATATTTCTGGTGAAGAAAAATTTCAGTGAAGTCCAAAAAACCCTCCACTTAGGTTAAATTAAAATGAAATTATGTTTTGAGTTTTGGGAGGTGACAGAGGAAGCAAAGAGAGCCTGTTGGAGGGGAACAGTCTGTCCTCTCTGGGCCTCCGTGCTGTTGAAAGGCAAACCACTTTCTTACTTGGGATCGGAGGCCCTGGCAGGGTCAGGCTGCCGCTGTCCTAGGTGCTCTCTGCCTACAGCTGCACCACACTTCCCATTTCTGTCCCTCCTACTGTCACCGCAGCCATGGGATGGGGACTCCAGGGTGTCAAGGATAGGGGAAACCCGGGTAGGGACCCAGGAGGGTATGCTGGGGATAGGGGTGGAGACAGATAAAGAGAGACAGAGAGAGACTTAGAGACAGAGAGAGAGAGACTTTGAGTAATAGAGAGTGGGAGGCAGAACAGAGTAAAGGCAGGCCAAAGGTTGGCCCTGTGAGGTGGGAGCAGGTGGGGTCCAGGAGGCAGTCCCACCAAGGAGTGCTATTTACTTCCCTGGGCAGCTGAGGGAGCCTCAGAGCAAACGGGGTGGGGAGGGGGGGGGTGGGGGGGTGGGGCGCCTGGGCTTGTTCTCCGTAGGTAACTCCCAATCCTCACCTACTACCTGTCCAGTGGTCTCCCTGGGGGATCAAAGCCCTCAGTCTGTGCCCTCTCTTTCTTCGCAGTTCTTTCTGACACCAGATCTAACTGTGCCCTTCCTGCTCACACACCTGCCTTGGCTCCCCATTTCCCTCCAACCCCGAAACTGATTTTCAGGGGTCCAGTGGTATAGCCAAGATGAAGCCACCAGAGTAAATGGATAATAATGATATGTTTTAGGTCCCATTTACAACCCTGAGCCCAGCCCTTGTACCCTTAGATCCCACAGCCGCACAGGGAAGGGGTCTTAAGTCAGACAAAGCAAGGTCAGTCTCCTGGTCTCCAGCTCTGGCTGACTCCAGAAGGAGAAGCCACTTCCTGCTCACTTCCGGATTGACGCCACAGTTGGGGGTGGGGGTGGGGGTAGGTTTCGGACTCACCCTTAACCTCTCCAGCTCTGAGTGAGCCCTTAGCCGGAGGCGACCGGGTGGGCAAGTTGGGGCGACCCCTGGTGGCTGTCAGCAGAACTAAGCGGTTAGACCTTCCTCCCCTCAGCCTCACTTCCTCCTTGGGAGTTAGCCTTCCAGTTCCCGCTTCAGGTGGGCCCCTCCCGGGTAAAGGCCCTGATCTGGTACCTCCAAGCCCGAGGGTGGTAGTGGGGATGATGAACAGGACTGGATGAGGTGGGGGAAAGAGTTCCAAGGGTTTCCACCCCCTCAAATACCCGCTTCTTAGGAATTTTTAGAAACAAATTTTAATTACTTTAAAGGTAATACATGTGCATGATTTTAAATGCAAAGTTTGCAAAAAGGTATACAAACATGAGACGGCACCCCCCCCACACACTCTCAGCCCCCTAGTTCCCGCCCCAGAGGCCACAGCTGTGACCAGTGTTTCCTTCAGAGATATTTGGGTAAAAGTCTCTTCCGTACCTGCATTTTGGAAAATGCGCACAAATTATCACTTTCCTGCTTTTTACATTAATGTTCTCAGAGGAATTTGCTTTGGCCCCTTTAACAGTCGTACGGGAATTTCCACCGTGGGGACAGATGGACACTCACTGAAACAGTCCCCAAGTGGAGGACATTGAGGTGGTTTCCAATTTTTTGTAATTACCAAGATATGATAATAAATGTCCTCATTCTTCCCCTTCCCCTCTTTTTTAGAAGTAAACTTTTTATTTTGAAATAATTGTAGATTTACAGAAAAGTTGCAGAGATAGTACAGAGTCCCTGAAGAGCCCTCCTCCAACTTCTTCCATGGTTAAGCTCTTTTACACCATGGCTCACCTGTCAGAACTAAGAAACTAACTGTAGTACATGAAATTAATCATACTCTGGACTTTATGTGATCTTCTCACTAAGTGTTCTTTTTTGTTCCAGGATCCAACTAGGGTTCTGCATTGCATTTGGTCCATTATTTTGTTTTGTTTTGTAAGATTTTATTTATTTATTTAAAGATTTTATTTATTTATTTATTTATTTATTTATTTATTTATTTATTTATTTATTTATGAGAGACAGAGAGAGGGAGAGAGAGAGAGAGGCAGAGGGAGAAGCAGGCTCCCAAGGAGCAGGGAGCCCGACGCGGGACTCGATCCCAGGACCCCGGGATCATGACCTGAGCCGAAGGCAGACGCTTAACCATCTGAGCCACCCAGGCATTTTATTTATTTATTTGACAGAGAGCAAGAGAAAGCACAAGCAGGGGGAGCAGCAGAGGGAGAGGGAGAAGCAGGCTCCCCACTGAGCAGGGAGCCCAATGCGAGGCTTGATCCCAGGACCCTGAGATCATGACCTGAGTTGAAAGCAGAGGCTTAACCAACTGAGCCACCCAGGCGCCCCATCTTTTTTTTTTTTAATTTTATTTATTTATTTTAGAGAGAGAGCAGGGGGAGGAGCAGAAAGGGACAAGCAGACTCTGCGCTGAGCGCAGAGCTCCACATGGGACTTGATCTCATGACCCTGAGATCATGACCTGAGTTGAAACCACGACTTTGACTCTTAACTGACTGAGCCACCCACACGCCCCTATTTATTTAGTTTTAAGTAGGCTCCGCCCCCGACGTGAATCTTGAACTTGCCACCTTGAGATCAAGGGTTGCATGCTCTATGGACTGAGCCAGCCAGGAGTCCCTGGTCCATCATTTTGTACACATGTAAATATGGTTAGAGAAAAATTTCTAGGAGGGTAATTGATGGATCAAAGGATACACGCACTTTCAATTTTGAGAGGTTCTAGAAAATTGCCCTTCCAAGTGGTTGTACAATGAGCAGTCTCACCAGCACCCTGTGGGATTATTTGTTTCTCCAGAGCAGTGCCAGCACAGGGTACTTTGTGATTTTTGTTTGTTTGTTTGTTTTTATCTTTGCCAGACTCATGGGTACAAAGTGGAGTGAGGTTGGGCACTTTTTTCGCCTTATATTTCTATTAATTGACTGTCTATATTCTTTGCCCATTTGTTCTACTGAGCTGTTTTTGAAAAATTAATTTATGAGAGCTCTTTATGTAATAAGGAAATTAATTTATTCCCGGGTATAAATACCTATATGAAATAAATCTAGGAAAGTTTTGGTTAATTCTCTTGGGTTTTCTATATATAAAATCATAATGCCAGGAGATAATAATATTAGGTTGAATTGCTTCTGAGGCTTTCCTGCCCAAAATGCCAACCTGAAACTAATCTTACAGAAATAACACATAAACCCAGACTTGAACTCCAAAAAATGATTGCCTCAGGCCTCTAAAAAAATGCCAGTGTTATGAAAGGCAAAGACAGACTGAGAAATGTTCCAGATTAAAAGAGATGAAAGACTTGACAAATACAATGTGTGAGCCAGGACATTCTTTTGTTATAAAAGACATTATAAGAACAGTTGGCAAAGTCTGATTAAAGTCTGCAGATTAGATAATAGTGTTTTATCAATCAATGTCCACTTTCTGATGTTCGTAATTTACTGTGATTAGGTGGGAGAATGTCCTTGTTTTTAGGAAATGCATACTCAAGTGTTATGGGTAACAAGACATCATTTCTGCAAGTTTTTCATAAAAGATTCAGAGAGAGAGAGAGAGAGAAAAGAATAAAGCAAAGGCGGTAACATTTGTGGAATCTGGGGGAAGGGTATCCAGGAATTCTTTGTACTAATCTTCCAACTTTCCTGTAAGTCTGAAGTTATGTCAAATATAAGGTAAAAGACAAAATTAATGTGAAATTGAGCCATATGAAACTGTTGATATTTCTATTATTTTTCACCTATATAAACGGTGCTTACATATGATCCAAACTATAAATTCCCTACTGCTTTTCTAATATTCATACCGCTTCTTTATTTTCCTTGTCCAAGTGCTGGTACCTCCAGAATAACATTAAATACTTGGCCCTGGTCATCCTCACCTTGGCACTCATTTTGATAGCCTTTTCAGAACTTTTCTCATTTGATCCATTAGTATGGTGAATTTTATTAGCAGACTTGTGAATATCGAATCATCCCTGCATCTCAGGCATAAGTCCCCTTTGTTGTGATGTATTTAAGAAGGGTGTTGCTTAATTCCTTTTGCTAAAATTCCATTTGGGAGTTTCATACCCTCCTCATAGGAAGAGGGGTCTGTAGTTTTTCCCATTGTGACATCTCAGTCAGTTGATAGGCTGGCTCACTAAACATGATTCCACTCAACTTACAGACTAGGTAAACTGAGGCCCAGAGAGGAGAAGTGACCCTTCCAGGTCACTCTTGAGCTAGGGCTGGACTTAAGTCTTCATGTCTGTGGGATGAAGCAACACTGTCATTAGAAGGAACTTAAGTCCCAAAACACTGTCTCATTGTGTTATCAAATGGTCCTCAGTTTCCCCATCTGTGAAATAAGCACTAGATGGTTGGGGAGAGAGGGTCGAGTCTCCTTCCTGTAGTTTCCGTTCAGAGTGGTTCTTGGATCTAAAGCTGAGCGTTGATGGGTGTCGACGGGGCATCTCATCCAGGGTGGGCACCTCTATACATGTTCCAGCCACAGCGTGTGCCGTTCTGGCCTCAGAGCCCTCATCCTCCTGGGGTCTGACTCACCCTCGTGCGCGCCGCGCCGGCCTCCGGCAGCCCCCAGAGGGTCCTGGGCGAGAGCGCGAACGGGGGCCGGGTCGGGGTCGGGACACGGAGCGGGATCGGGGTTGCGGCACTCTGCGCTGGGGGCCCATCTCGGCTTCCAGGGCTTTACTGACGGAAGTGGGGAGAAGCCCATCAGCACCTGGACCCCTGTCCCCCTCCCCCCAGTACTCTTCCATCTTTTCTGAGAACCCCGCTCCCCAGGATCCCCTATCCTTTCTCCACCCCCAGCCATTCCTGGGACCCCTCCCCAGGGACTCCCAGCTCCTCTTCCAGGAGCTCCACCTCCTCGCTCCCGTCCTCTCTCTCAATACCTTTTCCTTACATCATTTTCTCCCGCTCCTCGCCCTTCCCCAAGGCCCTCCATGTAAGCCCGACCCCAGGGACAAATGCCTCCAGAAAGCCGGCCCCAACGTGGAGATTCTCACCTCCAGCGCGCCTACATCCTTCACCACCCCTAGGTTCCAACTCTAGGATCCCCTCTTCGACTCTCCCATCACTCAACTCTCCAAGGCCCCGCCCACATGGCCACACCCCCTTCACCACCCCCCAGGGACCCTCCGCCCTCCCCTCCCTCCCCCTCCATGTGATGATTGGCCGAAAGAACGAAGTCTTGCGCAGCTATTGGCCACGCACCGCGCCCGTCCACCCCGGGCCCCGCCCTGCACTCACGCGCGTTCGCGCAGCACCGCCTCCCGGGCTGCGCAAGCTTCGGCCACCGCCTCGGCCGCGCGTGCGCGCTGCTGTGCCTCGTCCACCCTCCGCGCGGACTCCGTGGCCGCCGCCTCCCAGCGCGCCAGGGCATCTGCGGGCGCAGGGAGCGGGCTCAGCTCCGAGACCTCGCTCCCGCCCCGCTAAAGCAGGCGTTCGAGTTTACAGTCTGCATACTATTTGCAGCTTTGCTTTATTTGAATTAAGTTTGTGTGCTGTTTGCATGACCTTTACGTGTCATTTGCAGAGCTTTTTATAGGTTTGTATTGCTTTCGGGAGTCGTGTACGTGGCGTTTGCATATTTTGTTGTATTTGCGCTGTTTTTGTGACGTTTGCGTGGCCTTTGAGTGTTACGTGCATTTCTTTCATAACTTTTCGCGTTTATTTGCGTGTCCTTTACGTTTGCACCCTTGCGTGCCATTTGCGTAACCAGGAACCTTTTAGGCTCTTCCCACCCCTAGCCCTGGCCACGCCTTGCGCCCCAACACACCTGTGAGCGCCCCGTTCTCAGCCCCCATCTGGGTACCCTGTGCCTTGGCCTCTTCAATCTCAGTCTTCAGGATCATCATTTGGGTCTGAAGCCGGCTCTGAGGAGTGGAGGGGAAGTGAGGAGGGGAGGGGGGGGGAGGGGGAGGGGAGAGAAGAAGTGAAGTCTCCCCTCTTTGCAGACTGAACTGACACTGGTCACCGCGTTCCCTGAGCTTTATTTGGAATGTCCTTTGGGAGTCCTGTGGTTGGAAAACACAGAAGTGGCCTGCCGCACCGAGCGGTGACCGCTGCTCTGTCCAGGTCCACTGCCCCCCACCCCAAGCCACCAGATGTGGAAACGGTTTAGCTCTGCGGTCAGACTCCGGTTCCAATTCCAGCTTCTTCTAGACCCGCCGACTAGGGTTTTAAACCAATACAGGCCAGTTTGGTGGTTGACAATGATTGGGTTTGCTCCCTCAGCTATGGGAGACATTCTTCAAAACAACTGGCCTGGCTTTCTCAGAACATTTCTCACTGAGGGGCGGAGTCAGAATTTGAACCCAGAACAGGCTGCTCTTAACCTCAGTGGCCTCAGGCCCTTCTCTTAGGCAGGCAGGTAAAAGACAGAGGTCTGTTTTGATTTCTAAAATTCACACACCGCTCAACCCCTGCTGGGCCTGGTACACAGAGGTACAGAATAGTTGGTAAATGGAAGGTTGGGACTTTGAGGATGGTTCTTTTGCAAGACCCAGGGCTGGGAAGGGTTAAGAAAGAGTTTGAAGGGGTGGCCAGAGGAAAAGGGAGGACCTGGCCAGTACCTCCCCCAAGAGGCCAACTTTAGCTTCCTAATTAGAGGTGACATGAATGTCCCTCTCTCGAAATAGGGCTGCTGGACACTGGCTGGGGGAGGTAGAGTGGGCACCCAGGGGGAGGGTTCGCACAGGGGCTCCCCAGGTGGGCTCAGGGGCCTGGGGCTTCCCTAGCCATCACCAGCTATTAGGCAGATAGCGGAGAACTGTGGGGGCCTTCTTCCTCAGAAGGTAGACGCCAGGGGGAGCTGGTATTGTAGGATTTGGAAGGGACTATGGTGCTATTCTCATCTGCTCCCCTCCGTTAAAGAATTAGGGAAACCAGTGCACAGGGGGGCAACCGTGGAGATATGTGTGCGGGCCCTCTCCCAATTCTGGATTCTCCAGCCCACCACCCTGCCCACCTACCTGGCGGCCCTGACAGGCCCTTAGTGCCTCCTCCAGCTCCCGACCAACTCGGTTGGCCTGGTCCAGCTGTCTGGCCAGAGCCTCCTCTTGCTGGGTCGCCTCTGCCAGCCGTCTACGCAGTTCCTCGAGCTCAGGCGCCAGGTCCGCGGGGGGCGCCGTGGCGTTGGCCCCTGGCTCTGGGCAGCGAGGTCCCCGGGAGGTCGAGGAGGCCAGATTCCAGGCCAGCAGGGCTGCCCCGGCTGCCGCGGCCGCGAGGAACACCGCTGCCCCGCACAGGGCCAGCACCCGCCACGCGCGGCCCGGCTCTGGCCCCAGCTCGGCCATGCCGCCTTCCACAGCTCTGGCCCCAGACAGCCACGAGCATTTAATTGGCACCTTGGGGCGCCAGGGACACCCACGGTTCCGCCCCTCCCGGCCGTGGCTTCCCGAGTCCGTTGGGAGGGGCTGGACCCCGGCCAGGGGCCAGCCTAGGCTACCAGAGCCCAGGACAGGATTGGGGGTCCTGAGTTCCAGTCCTGCCTCTGCACCCCATGTGCTGTCCTCCGAGCCTCAGAGTCTCCCCCACTGTGAAGGGGGGATGGCCCTAGCTCCTGCCCACCCAGCGGGAACCATGTGAGCACATCCTCCCAAGGCACCCATCTGCACTGGGGCTACTCAGCAAGGCTCTCCATTCTGTTCGTGGAAAAACCGAGGCTAGGGGCGCCTGGGTGGCTCAGTCGTTAAGCGTCTGCCTTCGGCTCAGGTCATAATCCCAGGGTCCTGGGATCGAGTCCCGCATCGGGCTCCCTGCTCAGCGGGAAGCCTGCTTCTCCCTCTCCCACTCCCCCTGCTTGTGTTCCCTCTCTCGCTGTGTCTCTCTCTGTCACATAAATAAAATCTTAAAAAAAAAAACAAAAAACTGAGGCTAAAGGATGGGAGGCTACCCAACCGACTGAGGTTGGCCTGGTTCAGGCTGCCAGGCTTTCCTGTGACTGGCTGAGAGGGTCGGGGGTGGGGGGGGCAGACGCCCGAGGGGAGCGGTGCCATCTCCCTGCCCGATCTCCACGAGGCCGCCAGGGAGCGAACTTACATCGCGAGTCAGATCCAGGTCGGTCTACGACTAGCGATGTCCCTTCCTCTCAGAAGCGAATCTCCCCCTCCTCCCCCTCCTCCCCCTCCCCTCCCCCACCCCTCCCCCTCCCCTCCCCTCTTTTCATCTCCTCCAGAGGCAAGAGGGATGAGACGGAGGGAGATGTTGGTGGCATCTTGCTCTCAGAGTAAGGGGGCCTTCAGCATGAGTTGCTGAGACCTCAGAGAGCTACCAAGGGTTGAGATTCCGTCCGGGATGAAGGAGATTTGATATTTTAAAATACGTGGACCCCCCCCAAATAAGGGCTAGTCCGATAACCACCAAAGGTCCCAGGAATGGAATGAGCCATGAGAACCAAGACCAGATATCTAGTTTCCAGAAGAACCAATCAGCACCCCACCCAAGTTTTTTTTTTTTTAAGATTTTATTTATTCATGAGAGACAGAGACAGAGAGAGAGAGAGGCAGAGGGAGAAGCAGGCTCCCCGCCGAGCAGGGAGCCTGATGCGGGACTCGATCCCAGGACCCTGGGATCATGACCTGAGCCGAAGGCAGACGCTTAACCGACTGAGCCACCCAGGCGCCCCTCCACCCAAGTTTTTATATTGTTCCTCCTTGTCCCTAGCTGAGTTGATAATTTTCTCAGGGCTGTCCAAGACCTGACCTGACTCATTTACATAGAAGCAGCATTCTTCCACAATAAGGTACGAGTAAGCCCCTGATTAGCAGTCAGTGGGTCTAAAATGAGAGGATTTTGAAGAACTACTCCTCCCAGGGAATCAGATTGTCTCTGTGTTGCTTAGAGTGTGGAAACAAAATCGGCTACTTTTGACTCAAGGAAAGAGAGGGTTCCCACGTATGGATAGGATGAGCTGTTCCTCCCGTGCTTAGCCCAATTCCCATAAGGCTGCCAAGGAGGATGAGGCTAGACATCGGCTCAGTTCTACAGGGCGGGACACAAAAAGACCGGGTTTCTACTCGAGTGCCCGTTACGCTCTGTGTTAGGGGTGTGAGGGCTGGGGAGTTGGGGAAGTGTTGATCAGGAACTAGGTACACGAGGGCGCAGTGCCCCTTCCAAGTGGGGGGTGAGCCACAGAGAAAGTAGGTCCGAGAGTTGGGCTCCATGCAGGGCCATATGGTCAGTTGTCCCGGTGTAAGCAAAAATCCTAGGTATGGGACAGATTGTTGATTAAGATGAGCTTTGGAGAGGGCGACTCTGTAACCTTTGTTGTTTAGGAAGGTGAGGATGGTGATGGTGTCAGAAATAGAAGTGGGCCTAGCAGGGCTGAAGAGGAGGTCATCCACAGGTCGGAGAGGGATACTATTTGGAAGGGAGAGGTGGGAAAGATCTGATGCCAGGGCTGGTCCACAGGGGTGGGGGCTATCCCTAAGACCCCGTGGGAGAAGTGTCCAAGTTAACTGTGTCGGGCTAAGGTGAAAAGGTCTTGGGATTCTGGGGAGATGGGAATAGTGAAAAATGGGTCTTTAAGATCTAAGACACTGAAGTCCATGGTGGAGGGTAGAATGGTGGAGAGAGGGGTGTCTGGCTTGGGGAGGGCTGCCTCATTGGTAATTCTGAGATCCTGAATTAATCTGCAAGAACCGTCTGGCTTTTTGCCGGGAAGGATTGGAGTATTGTTTTTTTTTTTTTTAAAGATTTTATTTATTTATTTGAGAGAGAGAGAGAGAATGAGAGAGAGAGTACGAGAGGGAAGAGGGTCAGAGGGAGAAGCAGACTCCCCGCTGAGCAGGGAGCCCGATGCGGGACTCGATCCCGGGACTCCAGGGTCATGACCCGAGCCGAAGGCAGTCGCTTAACCAACTGAGCCACCCAGGCGCCCGAAGGATTGGAGTATTGTAAGGAGAGTTAGTAGGCTTTAATACATCTGAGGAAAGGAATTTGGAAATGAGGGGCTGCAAGCCTCTTAAGGCCCCAGGTTTGAGAGGGTATTGGGGTTTGGGAGGGAAAAAAGTAGGATCCTTGAGGTACATGGTGATGGGGGCGAGGTGAGTAGCCTTAAGTTGTTTGGAGGTGTCCCATACGGACGAGGGACCTGGAGTCATAGCTGGAGAGAGTGAAGTGGGAGCAGGGTGTGTAGGTCCAGTAAGGAGTCCCAGGAATTGGGATTGGGGGTGTATGGGGTGCAGATGAAAGCGAGTCCCCAGGTTGGTCACAATGTCTTGTCCTGGGAGGGGGAGAGGACAGCAGAGCAAGAAAGAGATGGCGAAGGACCTGACCTCCCAGGGCACATGACAAGAGTCGGGTAGCTGAAGAAAGAACACCATCAGGGTGCCTGCGTGGCTCAGATGGTTAGGCATCTGCCTTCGGCTCGGGTCATGATCCCGGAGTCCTGGGATCGAGTCCCGCATCGGGCTCCCTGCTTGGTGGGGAGCCTGCTTCTCCCTCTCTCATGAATAAATAAATAAAATCTTAAAAAAAAAAAAGAAAGAAAGAAAGAACACCATCAACCCCAACAACAGAGATGGGGGAGGGAAGAGAGGGTCCTGAAAATCCAGGGAGATCCTGGGGTGTGTCAGTCCGTACCCTGAAGTCCCAAGAGATCAGCCACCAGGGATATGGCTGATCCTCTCCCCTATTTGGGCCCTGAGGACAGGTTTTGGGAGGTGCCCCCCCCAACTCTGAGGATGGGGTTGTCACCCTTCCAGTGGCCAACCTGCTTACAGGCGGGGCAAGAGGTTTTGGGTGCCCTTTTTTGTCTTTGTTTTTTTATTGGGACACCGTTTGGACCAGTGGTCAGGCTTACCGCAAGCGTAACAAGCTCCTGGAGGGGGGTTGTTGAATGTTTGCATCAAGCCAGCATGGTAAGACTTTTCTAGAATCGCTCCAGTGAGGGCAGCAGCCAGGAGCTGATAAGCCTGAGATCGTTTTTTGATCTTTTTCTCTTTTCCTCTTTGATTTCCTCCTCTCTGCTGTTAAAAAACCTTGAAGGCCTGGTCCAGTACTTCGGATTGATGGTTTTGTGGGCTTTATCCAGTTTTTGAAGGTGTTTTTTTTTTCTTCCTAATGTCTGGGGCTGACTGAGAGATGCAATGCGTAGCCAGGATCGATTTTCCTGCATGAGAGTTAGGATCAAGGTCGGTGAGTTTTTGAAGAGTCTCAGTGAAGTGAGTGAGGAAAAGGGCAGGGTTTTTATCTGATCTCTGGGTGATCTCCCTTCACCTTTCCTAATTGACCTGTTTAGAAGCTGCCCATTTCATGCTTTCTAGAAGATGGAGACCACGTGGTCGAGTTTGACCTTGTCCCCAGAGGAGGGGTGGTAATTCCAAGTTGGCTTGGCCAAGGGGACGGCCCCATTGCTGGGAGCACGTTGTGCAGGCTGTCTGCAGCTCAGATCATCAGCACCTTCAGTAGCCTTGGGCCAAGTTCCGTTTCTTTCCTCTGGGATGGTACAGGTGGAGAGAAAAACATATAGGTCCCTCCATGACACATCAGAGGAAAGGGCGAGATACTCAGATTCCTTAGTGAACCTGGAGGGATGGGGTGAAAAAGAGCCAAGCTTAGATTTTATAAGAGAGAGATCTGGCGTGCAGGAGGGAACGTGAACCCGAACCATGCCCCCTGCTCCAGCCGCTTCGCCAAGAGGGAATTGGGAGCCCTGGGAGGTTGGTAAGGGTGGCCAGAGGGCGTGTGGGCGGGAGAAGGATCCAACGATGTGGAGACAAGGGCTGAAGGGGGGGAAGGGGTGCCGAAGGGTCTTGAGGGGAAGGACGGGGGGCTGTGGAGGAGCCAAGGGAGGATCACCTGCGGGTGGGTTGAAAGGCGGAGGTCGGTCAGCAGAGTTGAAGTCTGAGTGGGGAGAACTGGGGAGAGGGAGAGGGGTCTTTGGGGAGATAGAAAGAGTATAGGGCAAGTAGTGGGAAGCTCAGGATGGTGGGTAAGTTCAAAGAAAGCTTTTTTAAAAATCTTTTTTATTGTTATGTTAATCACCATACATGACATCATTAGCTTTGGATGTACTGTTCCATGATTCATTGTTGGTACATAACACCCAGTGCTCCACGCAGAACGTGCCCTCCTCAATACCCACCACCAGGCTAACCCATCCCCCCACCCCCCTCAAAGAAAGCTTTGAGATGATGTTAGGGTGTCCGGTGAGCCCGGTGGCAAAGAATTGCGCAAAGAGTGGAGCACGAGCTGGACAGAGTTTATGCACTTTCCAAGGGAGGAGAGGGGCCAGACATGGAGAGAGATGTCAGGCTCAGCTGTGCCCCTGGGGGAGGATGTGTGAGGAGGGTGTCGACACTTGCTTGGCCCCACAGATAAATAAATGGTAGACAGGGAGAAACCCAGCAAGGCCTATTTGATCAAAATCAGGAGGTGACAAGTTTCTGCAGGGGGGACAGCTCTTTCCGGGGCTCATCTGGGATGTGGTTTGCTGACTCGCTAGAAAAGAATATGCTTTGTCGTGATGGCCTAGTTTTTCTTTTTAAAGATTTTATTTATTTATTTATCAGAGAGAGAGAGCACAAATGGGGGGAGCGGCAGGCGGAGGGAGAAGCAGGCTCCCCACTGAGCAAGGAGCCTGACGTGGGGCTCAATCCCAGGACCCCGGGGTCATGACCGGAGCTGAAAGCAGACGCTTAACCAATGGAGGCACCCAGGTGTCCTGTGGTGGTCTGTCTTCTGAGAACAAGGGGCACCATGACCTGGAAAAACAGAGAGTCAGGGCCGTCCGACGCCTGTGAGTTTTTGCCTATAGGCTTGGCTGGGGAGGGGGCTTTGAATAGAATCCTTTCACCTTGCAAGTCCCTTATGTCTTTATTTTCTCCTTGTTGACCCCCTTCTGACCTCCTCTTCTGGCAAGCACATTCACACCCCCCCCCCCAGGGCCTCTGTGTTCGCCCTTTGCTCTACCTGAGCACACTTTCCTCTTGTCTTTGCCCAGCTAACAGTTCCTTATAAATTCCTCCCACCCCTACCCCTGACTCATGTATCTCCTCCTCCAGAGCCCTTTCCCTCCCCCACTAACTCCAGGCCCCTTCTGACTAGCTCTTTGAGCTCTTCTGTAATTTCACCTTTTATGGGTTTGAGTCCTGGCTGCCTCCACCATCAGACTAGGGGAGCTCCTAAAAAGCAAAGCCTCTTTCCTACTGCCACCGCATGGACACAGTAGTCATGCAGTAAATGTGAGTGGTGTCTTCCCCTTTCCCGTGCCCCCATTCCACAGGAAGAAACCAGAGCCCAGAGAGGCCAAGTCACAGGGCAGGGTCACACAGCAGCCTCTGGTCACTACCGGATTCCTGCTGGAGATGGAACCGCACAGACCTGCAGGACCCCTCTGACCTGACTTTTTTTTTTTTTTTAGATTTTATTTATTCATTCATGAGAGACAGAGGGAGGGAGAGAGAGAGAGAGAGAGAGAGAGAAGCAGAGGGAGAAGCAGGCTCCCAAGGAGCAGGGAGCCCGATGCGGGACTCGATCCCAGGACCCTGGGATCATGACCTGAGCCGAAGGCAGACGCTTAACCATCTGAGCCACCCACGCGCCCTGACCTGACTTCTCAACCCTCCACTGGGTCACAGCCAGTGAGGGAAAAGTGGTGTTAGGGAGTAAGAATTTCCTGTGCCCCTTCTAGATCCTTCTAGCCGGACTAAGGATCAAATTAACATGAGACAGATTAACAGGAGAAAATAAAATTTAATTTCATACATATGGGGAATCCACACAGACAAGGAACTTCCAAAGACGGGCAAAATCAGGTACATACGTCATTCTAAACTAAGGAAAGGAGGGAGTAGGGGTTTGGGACTTCAAAGGGAAGGAACACAATTCATAGGAAGATGAAAAAGAGTAAATGTTCAGTAAACAAGTATATGCTGTGCCACTCAGAAAGAACGGGACACAGGAGATTTTGATCAAATAGGCCTTGCTGGGTTTCTCCCTGTCTACCATATCAAGTTCACAACATGATGTAGTAATCTATTGGCGAGAGCCCTCATCCTGGGGCAGGTCCTCTGTGTAAATTCTTTTTAGGCAGTTGTGAGCGAGGAAAGAGTTCTTCCTGAATCTGCTGGGTTTTGATTGCTTATTTTATTTTATTTATTTTATTTTTAATTTTTTAATTTTTTTAATTTTTTTTAAAGATTTATTTATTTATTTATTTGAGAGAGAGAGAATGAGAGACAGAGAGCACAAGAGGGAAGAGGGTCAGAGGGAGAAGCAGACTCCCTGCTGAGCAGGGAGCCCGATGTGGGACTCGATCCCGGGACTCCAGGATCATGACCCGAGCCGAAGGCAGTCGCTTAACCAACTGAGCCACCCAGGCGCCCCTTATTTTTAATTTTTTTAAAGATTTCATTTATTTATTTGAGAAAGAGAGCATGATTGGAGGGGGAGGGGCAGAGGGAGAGAGACAAGGAGACTCCTTGCTGAGCAGGGAGCCCAGGCTCAATCCCAGGACTTCGGGATCATGATCTGAGCCGAAGGCAGACGTTTAACCGTTTAACCATTTAACCGTTTGAGCCACCCAGGGACCCCTTACTGTATTTTTAAAATCAGAATATTTGATTTTTTTAAGTAGGCTCTACGTCCAACGTGGGGCTCAAACTCACGACCCTGAGATCAAGAGTCGCATGCTCTACAGACTGACACAGCCAGGTGCCCCTTGATTGCCTTTTTTTTTTTTTTTAAGATTTTATTTGTTTGAGAGAGAGAGTGAGCAGGGGGAGTGGCAGAGGCAGAGGGAGAAGCAGGCTTCCCGCTGAGCAAGGAGCCTGATGTGGGACTCGATCACAGGACCCTGGGATCATGACCTGACCCGAAGGCAGACGCTTAACCCACTGAACCAGCCGGGTGCCCCTTGATTGGTTTTTTACTCAATATAGTCTTCATGCCAAAGCGGCCCATCTTGGGGCAGTCGGCCCTTGGCCCCTACAGGGGCATTTTTAGGAAGGAGAGAAGTTTTCTACTCAGCCACATATGGGGGCTTGGGAGGAGAAATTGAACAGGTTGAATCCATCATATTGGGCAAACCTGTCCCCCATCACCATGGAAACACAGTCCAGGCACGGGGGGGGGCGGAGGGAGGGGTAGCACTGTTTTAGGACATTCTGGTAGCCCTAGCTGGGGGTGGGAGTTGAGGATGGTGGTGGAGGTGAAGACACCTCAACCCCTCCGACTGGTCTAGTATGCACTAAGTTTTAGCCAGCACCCTTAGCCTGAGTGACTGATTAACTAAACCTTTTTTCGTATATTTATAGATCTTGCACTCTTTCCTAGAAAGAACAGAGCACTTCTGCACGTCACCAGGCTCTCCTGCACCACCCCGGGGAACCAAGCACCCAGAATCCCTTGCCGACCTGTGAGCACCATAATAACGTGTGTAGCTGGCACCTTAAGACTGCACATAATTAAGAATTATCATAGGCCACTGCACTCCCTTAACAGATTAACTGCCCTAAATCCCTTGAAAAATTTCTGGGTCAGGCAGAAACCTTGGAGTTGGCCTTCTCACCCCAGGTGGCCAGCCTCCTGAATAAAGCCCATATTCCTTCCCAATGAGAACCCATCTCTGGAATATTTGCCTTTGCGGCTTCAGGAACAGGTTGGGGGGAGGACCCAGGAGGTCACGTGAGAAGGGTTTTCTTCTGGGAATCAGAATTCCCTGAGCAGCTCAGAAGCCCCGAGTAAGTCCGGGAACATTCCTGGATTTCAGTTTCCTTATTTGTGAGATGGGGGGGCTGTTCCTGAGGGGTCAAATGACTCAGCCATCCTAAAGTAACCCAGTGAACTCCTCCTGGGCCGTCCTGCAAGCTGGGGACACGGAAGTGAGGAAAACCTCTAGAGCAGAGGTTCTCAGAGGAAGTGAATCTGCCCCCACCACCATGAGAGATTTGGTAATGTCTGAAGGCATTTTTTTATTGTCACAATGGGTGTGGGGGGGCGGGTAACGGTACAGGCATTCTGGTGGGTTGGGCCAGGGAAGTTGCTCAAGTTCCTGCAGCACCCAGGGCAGGCTCCACGGCAGAGCCCAACGCAGCGCAAAAGTCAAAAGTGCTAACAGACGCAAAGGTCCCGGCTCCAGTGCAATGGCAGGAAATGGCCTGGACAATTGTTAGGATTCTAGAAGGACTTGGAGAAAGGGAGATAACAGAGGAGGAAGGCTTGACAGAGCCTGGGAAGGTCTGTGAAAGTCGACAAAGAGTCTATCGAGACAGCAGCTCTGAATTTGGAAGAAGCAGAGAGACTCTCTGGAGGAGGGGTTCCCAGACCTGGGTACTGCAGGAGGAATACGAGTTCGGGCTGGGGTGGGGAGGAGCACCGTGACAAGGGCCCGGCCTGTGTGTGTCTGCAGATCCAGGTTTGAATCCCAGCCCCGAATAGCCTGTGGGATGGGAGTGGGAACGAGGGCAGGGTGCCCCCCTACCACAGGCTGGGTTTCCCCGCATTGGACCAGGCATCAGGAGAAGGTGCAGCGAAGACAGGAGGGGAGATGAGACTCGATGAGGAGAGGGCTCGGCCCTCGGTGAGTGCTGATGAGGGGGTAGAGTCCTGTATGATGACCCCGGTGAAGAGGGCCGGGGAGGCAGGGAGATGGTACCTGCCCAAACACTGAGGCTTCCTGGGAACATTCTGGAGCAGGGAAGCGTGGGTGTGGATGTCAGTGGGTGTCCACCCTCAGCTGTAGGACAGGCCCCGGGTGCATGGGGGTCACACATAATGGCACTCACTCCAGGAACTTCAGAGTATAGTCTTTGCCCCTAAAAGGGGCGTCTACTTTTGGGAGTTCAAAGACTCAGAAGTCAGTGAGCTTCCAGAAACCACGAAACCAAGAAATAAGCACTCGCCACCCTATGCCCTGCCCAGCTCTGGGGGGAGGCCGAGTCGGTGGGTGGGGGGAGGCCGCCCTGGGCCAGGCCCCCTGCCGGTCCATCCCCGAGGCTGCTTCTTGTCCCCCACCGCACTGCTATCTCGCCCACCTCCCCGCTAACCATGCTGCCATGCGGCTCCCTCAAAACTGGTCTGGTCAGGGAAGCCTTGAAGGGGAAAGTCCAGGCTGTGGGCTAGGGGAGACATCATAAGAGGGACTAAGGGTGGCCTGGAGGGGCAGAAGGCGGCCCCGCCCTGCTGCAGGCCGGCTCCCCAGACCCTGGCCTATCCTGGGCTCCCTCCCTCCCTCGCATCCCCAGCTTTCTTCTACCCCAGGCCACCCCCCTCTTACCGGCAGGCCTCAGGCCAGCAGAGCGATGAGGCCCAGGAGCAGGTACGCAGGGACCATCAAGGGGCTGAGTGCTTGCAAGGAGCTGCCAAAGCTGGTTTCCCCTTCCTTGCTCGAGGCCTCCTTCTCTTGTCTGGGGAAGATGTGGAGACAACTGAGGCAGCTGCCCGGCCTGCACCAGGTCTGGCCTTGTCGGCCCTCAGAATCTCCCCTCCTCCCCTACCAAATCAGTGGGGAGGAGAGTGGGCAGTGGCCACTCAAGGCTTGTGTGACCAGAGGGACAAGGCTGGGCTTCAAACTTTACGCCCTGAGCAATGGGAATTTTCCAAGCAAAGGGAGTCCTGGGTCTTGGGGGAAGGATGGGTGAAAGGGCCGTGGTCAGGGGCTGTGGCTCGGACCTTAGTCGCTCTACCTCTTCCAGAGCTTCTTGCAGCTTCTGCTTCAATTTCTCATTCTCTCCTAAGGCGGGAGAGAATCAGGGGGCTGTGTCAGCACGGTGGGCTGGACACGGCGTGACAAGCAGCCACATCCTTCGCCAGGATCTACCCCAGGACCTGACACCGCCTCCAGCCCTGCCCCCATGCCACCCCACCTTGGAAACCTGGGGTACTCCTTTCCCACCCTCCACTGGATTCTGACCACTCCCCGGCGATCCCAACCCTGGGACAACCCCACTTCAATGTTTGACCCACCCCTCCGGATCCCCCTCCATGGAACCCTGGCTTTGTGCTTTCTTACCCTGAAGCTCCTCTTTTTGGATGAGCTGCTCCAGACCTCGGGCCTTCTCCATCTCCAGGGAAGCTGACACGTTCACCTGGGACAGAGGGGAGGGTCAGAGACTGGCGTTCTGGCCTGCGGAGCCAGGTAGCTGCTGGCCTGGGCCCTGGACCTCTTCCCCAGGCCCCGTGGTCAGAGGGGCCCAGGGCCAAACCCCTTTCAGGTTTCCCTCCAAACCTCCCTGCACCCCGGTCTCCCACCTCCAAGAATGGCCACAACCTCCCACTCTCCCAGGGCACCTAAGGATGTGATCCTCGAAATAGGGGATTTGAGGCCCCCCACGTGGGAATTTGGAGGCTCCCCATGCCCAAATCCTAGGAGAAACTCTTAGACCTCGTGGGCTATTGCCCAAGATTTAGACGTCCTCCCCCAAACCCAGAACACGGGGATTTCCAAGCCCAAGTTAGATGTCCGTGGGAGTTTCAAGGTCCCCCATATCAGGACCCATGTGAAAGTTTCACAGTCTCTCAGGGATGGAGTGGATGTATCAAGAGCCCCACCCTTCTTTAGGACGTGGTGAAGTCCCCATCCCAAAACCTAGACGGGATTTCTGCTGCCCAAGACTGGGGCAGAGAGGAACTTCTAGCTCTCCCATAACAGGTTGTAGATTCTTCCCACATCCTAGTGGGGATTTGGGTGCTCTGGGGGGAGTTTTAAAGGCCCTGCCCCACACCAGCACTGCTGAGAAAGTTTAGCGGTGCCCCAAACCCCAGCAGGGAAACTCAACTCCCATTGTGCGGGTCCAGGGGCAGTTTCAAGTTCTATGTCCATCTCCATCTAGACCTGTGGGGGCCACGCAAGCACTGGGCCCTCTCCGGGAGCTGCAGTCGCTTACCAAAGTGTGGTGGCAGGTGGCAACCTGGTCCGTGGTCCGTAGTAAGTCTTGCCGGGTTTGGTTTAGCTGGAGCTCCAGGAGGCAGGTGACATTGGGACACTCCTGCTCTGCCAGGAGGCCACCATTGCAGGCTTTGCTGTTGGCCCTGACAGCGAAGACAATCAGGCACACAAACCCACCACCCAGCACCAACAGGATCCCCAAGACCTCCGGCCACCCCAGCCTCCTACATCGCAGCATTGACTCTGATTTGTCAGCCACGGGCACAGGCAAGTAATGATAAAAGGTAGGTGCCATCTAGATCTGCCCCTGGATGTGGTAAGTTTGGGCAGGAGGTAGGACGCTGGAACCTTCTAGTGGCTGTGGCTACCCCCTTATTAGCATAGGGGCCATCCTGACCAATGACAAGGTCGGAGAGAATCCTCTGACCTGGAGGCTCTTGAATTGGCCATCTGCAGGCAGAAAATGGTTTATGCTTTCAGTTTCAATTTCCCAGGGAAAAGCCGGGTTGTTTGTGCTGAATTGAAACCTGGAGCTTTTCCAGTTGGGGGGCAGGGGGGAGCTGGGGCTGCCCGGGGTGGGGGGACACCCCATCTCAAGTTCCTGCCCCCTCTCCCGCATGTAACTGAGGGTGACAACTGCAGTTACTGAGGGTCTCATGCCTGTCAGCCTTGTGTTTGTGTGTCCCAGGACCTGAAGAGACAGCAACTGTCGTTGGCTCAGCTCCAAGCTGGGGAAACGGAGGCTGAGAGATGAGTGGTAGACTGGGGGCGGGGCCTGGTTCTGACCCCGGAGGCCAGGTTTTGTGTTTAGTGTTCTCCATGGTGGTGACCCAGCAGGGGTTCACCTAGCATCCCTGCACCCACCAAGGGGACCACCGGGAACCATGGAGGGTGTCTGAGGAGGGACTGAAGGCTGGGGAAGTGGAAGCCTATGCCATGGGACCCCAGGACACAGGCTGCAGTTCCTCCATTTGGCCACCAGGGCCACCCCAACCCACAGAGAAGGTCGCCAGGATTTCGTCCTGGCTCCCACAGGGAATACGCTCCTACTTCTAGAATCTGCCTCTGCCATCCCAGGACCCCAAGTAAACCCTCCTAACCTCAGTTTTCCCATCTGTAAAATGGGGCAATAACAGGAGCAGCCTCATCGGGGAGGGGGGCGGTGAGGAGTTTCTAGTGAAGTGCTTTGGCATCCAGTAGGCGCTCAGGGGATGTGTGGGCCAGGGCAGGAGGAAAGGTGAAAAACAGTGAAATATGGCCATGGAGCGCGGAGCCCATTTTGAGGAAAGATGGTCCAGTCCATTTGGGATACGCTGGACCCAAAGTGCCTGGGGAGTGCCCAGGGAGAGGCCTCAGAAGGGAGCTTGAGCCAGAGCTTCCTGCTGGACATCAGCCTGATGAGAGGCTCCCACCCGCTGCCTGTGACAGGCAGAAGGTTGTCATGTGCTTTTCCTGTGGCTTCTTCAGCTACTGCCCGCCCACAGCGCAGACTCCAGCCCAGGTTTTGTTGTGTTGGCCATTTCCAGGGTTTGTGGTGAGCAGGGCCGGTGGGCAGGCAGGGCCACAGCCGGGGACCCAAGCCTCCCAGAAGGGAGAAGCCTCTCCAGGCCCCCGTTGGATGTGCTCTGCCTAGAAGTCCCCCATGAAAGCCACTCAGCAGCCAAAGAACAAGGGATGAGGGATGATCTTGCTGAAGAGGCTTGGGGGAGCTTGGGTGTTGCTTGAAAAGGGCCCTCCCTCCCTAGCCAGGACCCCAGGGGCAAACACAAGACCGTCGGCAGAGCTGATTTCACACGGTACTGGCCTTCAGACTTTGGGGTCAGTTGGGGATCACAGCTGCAGGTCAGAGGCCAAGGCTGCGTGTGAATAGCCCTGCCTCCTGTAGGACCTGGACAAGCAATTTCCTCTCAGCCTCGGTTTCTGGATCTGTAAAATGGGGATGACAAAAATGAAACCTTTCAGTGTGCCCCTAGATTTTGCAGCTGAGGAGAGTGCCTTATTCACCTCGCTCTAGTCCCAGCCCAGCAAACAAAAAATTTTTCCCTCCAAAATCCCAATGGAAACAGGCTGCCATTTGTATGATTTTAGCCTTGTTACTTTTTCTTTCTTTTTTTTTTTTTTAAAGATTTTATTTATTTATTTGAGAGAGAGAGAATGAGAGATAGAGAGCACGAGAAGGAAGAGGGTCAGAGGGAGAAGCAGACTCCCCGCTGAGCAGGGAGCCCGATGTGGGACTCGATCCTGGGACTCCAGGATCATGACCTGAGCCGAAGGCAGTCGCTTAACCAACTGAGCCACCCAGGCGCCCTAGCCTTGTTACTTTTTCTTAAGGATTGTTTTGTTTTAGGATAGTTTTGGATTTGCAGAAAAACAGTGAAGACGTACAGAAATGTTCTGTAGGCCCCCGTCGGCCTCTGAGAGTCGGGGACCTGGGGCGGCGAAGGAACTGAGAAAAAGAGACGACAGTAAAGTGAGGCGCTGGGGACCCCGAGCGAACAGCCCGAGGCCCCGAGATTTGTTTTCCATAATCTACTATACCTTCTACAATGATATAGGTCTATAATGATTCACAGCAGGGGCTTAATAAGGCACATTCTTCCACGCACACAGGGTTAGTCAAGTGAAGCAATGGGAGTGGAGAAGGAGTAAAGAAATCTGTAACTGGCTGTGATCAATTCATTGTAAACACCATTGTACTGGGACCTTAACACAGGATAAGAGAACAACGAAGGGAGTGCACGGTGTGCCGCTTACAGCTGGCTTCCTATCGACAAAACATCTGCTGCTGCGGACTTTAGAACAGACCCCGCACATCCCAGGGGCATTTCACTCTGATCCTTTCGGGTTATTTATTTATTTATTTTTAAAGATTTTATTTATTTATTTGACAGAGAGAGACACAGCGAGAGAGGGAACCCAAGCAGGGGGAGTGGCAGAGGGAGAAGCAGGCTTCCCGCGGAGCAGGGAGCCCGATGCGGGGCTAGATCCCAGGACCCCGGGATCACGACCCAAGCCGAAGGCAGGCAGCTAACGACTGAGCCACCCAGGTGCCCGCTTTCCGGTTATTATTATTATTTTTTTAAAGATTTTATTTATTTATTTGAGAGCGAGAGAGAGCACATGCAGGGCGGAGGGGCAGAGGGAGAGAGAATCTCAAGCAGACTCCACGCTGAGTGTGGAGCTTGACTCGGGGTTCAGTCTCACAACCCTGAGATCATGACCCGAGCCAAAATCCAGAGCGGATGCTTAACTGACTGAGCCACCCAGGTGCCCCCGTCAGTTTTTCTTAATGTCCTTTTTATGACCCCACGTTACATTTAGTTGTCACATCTCCTTAGGTCCTTCTGGGCTGAGATAGTTTCAGACTTTCTTGTTTTTGATGACCTCGGCAGTGTTGAGGAGAATTGGTCAGGTGTGTTGTGGGAAATGGCTCAGTTGTGATTTGTCTGGTGTTTTTTCAAGGTTGGCCTGGGGGGTGACAGGTTTTGGGGGAGGACCGCAGAGGTGAAGCGCCCTGCTCATCACACTATGTCCAGGGCACATGCCATCAGCATGGCTTTTTTTTTTTTTTTTTTAAGATTTTATTTATTTATTTGACAGAGAGAGACACAGCGAGAGAGGGAACACAAGCAGGGGGAGTGGGAGAGGGAGAAGCAGGCCTCCCGCGGAGCAGGGAGCCCAATGCGGGGCTCGATCCCAGGACCCCGGGATCATGACCTGAGCCGAAGGCAGATGCTTAACGACTGAGCCACCCAGGCGCCCCATCAGCGTGACTTTTCACAGTGATGTTGACCTGGATCACCTGGCTGAGGTGGCCTTGTCGGGTGTCTCCACTGCAAAGTTACTCTCCCCGCACCCCCCCCCCCCCCGTGAGTGCTGTGCTCTGTGGAAGGAAGTCAGCAGGCGCAGCCACACCTAAGCCCACATCTGGGGCAGGATGGAAGAGTACACACTCGGGGCTTTTTCTTTTTGTGGTTCATCTTGAGAGAACAATGTAGGGACACCCAAGAAACAAACTTCGTAAAGGACAAAAAGGTCATCCACAATCCGCTCCTTCCACTCAGCTCTTTTATCTCTTACTGTTCATTAAACCACACATATATTTCATTGTGTTGACCAAACGCCTTACCTTGTTGTGTCATGCCTCACTCTTGAGATGTTTTCAGTTGTGCATGACCCTGGGTGGGTGACAGAGGTCATCTCTAGGCTTGTAGGAAGGCGGTGGCCCAAGGGTTCTCACTCAGGGGTGATTCTGTCCCCAGGGGATATCTGGAGACTCCTTCCTTCCTCCCTCCCTTCCTGCCTTCCTTCCTTCTTCCCTGCCCCTCACTTCCTTTTAAAGATTTATTTATTTATTTGAGAGAGAGCATGAACGGGAGGGGGAGAGGGAGAGAGAATGCTCAGCACGGAGCCCTACGTGGGGCTTGATCTTAGGACCCTGAGATCACGACCTGAGCGGAAACCAAGAGACAAACACTTAACCGACTGTGCCACCCAGGAGCCCCTGGAGACAGTTTCAATTGTCATGAACTTCATATTACGGTTGAGTGGAAGGGTGCTATTGGCATCTGGTGGGTGGAGGCCAGGGGTGCTGCTCAGCACCCCACAGCACCCAGGATGGCCCCACCGCAGAGAACCACCCCGGGGAGAAGCCCTGGCCTGGTCCTGGTGCAGGTTTGGGTTCAGCTGGGCTCAGCCCTGCTCTGCCCTGGGGCTCTGCACTTGCTGAGCCTGCTGGCTTGTAGGATGTCTGTGACCGCGGCTGTCCCCAGCTGCTCAGAGGATGCGACAGGCGCTTAGCTCAGTGCTCGGCTCCTCCCCACTGCCCCGTCAGTTCATCCGTCCGTGTCATCCTTTGAGAAGTTGTGGATCCGATGTGGTCTTTCCTTAGACTGAATTCCCAGGAGTGGGGTTACTGGGTCCCTGGGGACGCATGGCTCCCTGGCTCTCACTTTCCCTAAAGAGCAATCCAGAATTTAGTCTGTTCCAGCCCCTGCAGGGACTGGACGCTCAGCTCTCCACATGTCAGACATGCTGTTTCCTTCCAGCTCCTTCCTGCCCCCGTCCGAGCAGCACCTGGTAGGACAGGCCAGCTCGGGGTGACCTCCACCCACTGTGGCCATTTCCCTGGGTCCACGGTTCAGTCAGCGTCTGCTTCTTGGTCCCGGCCTCTCGCCCGGCCCCAGGGCTGCGTGTTGGCATTCCAAGCATGTTTCTTGTTAGAGAAGGTCATCCAGCAGATGTGCGGGTTGGTTGATCAATGAGCTGGATCCAGGTGCTTGGAGGCTCCTCACCCCCTTCCCTGTCCCTGGAATGCACCTTCTGCTCATTTTTCCCACACTAGGAACCACTTCAAGGACACAACCTTGAGAGAGGGCCAGGTGTTGTTGAGACCATCTGGACTGTATATGTGGGTGAACCCTGCTG